AAAATATTTTACCAGCTCACAAGATTGATCATATGGGGTTAAGAATGTGAATATCCTGTAGCTCAGAATAACCATAATTTGCATGGATATGATGACTAGTTACACAAACATACAAAATGAATATGAAGCTGATATTGGAAACATTTTGACACTATATGCACAAGTAAACGTTGGGGAGTACAAGCTTTGAAATAAAATATAGTGTGCTCAAGTTTATTGCAAAATTATGGCTGTGTATTTGCTGATTGTGCACAATAGACATGTTGCTTAACTTCTCTGACTCTCATCTATAAAATGAAACTAAAAATAGTACCTGAGTCTCAAGTCTGTCAGAAAGATGGGGTCACTACATTAGTTGGGAAGATGGCAGTGGCAGTGATAGTAGAAAGTGCCTGAAGATTCGAAAGTTGCCAGATCAGATCATTGTGAGAACCAGGAGCTCAAGGGTCCTGAAGGAATTGCTACATCCTTAGTGCATGACAAACATCTAGCTTTGTATTTGCTCTATCTATAATGTATGATGACATGAACAATGCAACCTATCTTTGGAAAAGAATACCACCAGCAAAATCTGCTAATTCGGAACTTGGGAGAATGTGGTCAGTAGGAAAAAGTACCTGCAGAGAAATTTTTGTGGGATTTTTTAAAAGATAGATCTCATTGTATAGTTCAAGCTTGCCTTGAACTCATGGTGAGTGATTCTCCTGCCTCAGGTTCCTGAGTGCTGAGATTACAGGCATGCCCCACCACACCTGTCTGTCATGGGATGATATGACATTCAATGCTCATTAGTGGCCAGAGATGGTCCAGCCAAGTCATGAAGCACTTAGAAATGCAACACGCAGATGACCCTTTGCCCTGGTCTCTTAAGCATGTATCTCAGTAACGGCTGAGTTTGAGTTCCTTGCAGCCTTCATTGGATTTCCTGTGGAAGAGGCTATGAAAGGCATAGCAGAGCCAGTTTGGCAAGCCAACTCCATTGCCAGAATGGTTCTACCAAGAAAGCCAGTTGCAGGGGCCCAGGTTGTTTCCCGTAAGTTTATTCCCTTATCAGAGCCAGACTGAGTTACACTCATCCCCAGTGAACAGCAGTTAGCCAGCCTGAGCAATTACAAGGCTTTCTTTGAAAACTGATTTACCATCCTGAATTCAAGATTCATCTTTAGAAGCTTATCTACTGACAGAAATGTAAAATTTTCATTTTAAATTTAATGGATGAAGTATCTCAGCATTCCTTATTATGTGATAAAATACACAATACAGGGTCCTCAAACACCATTCTCAACAGTTGTTGAAACACATCTTTCACTGTAATATTTAACAATTTGGAGCTTAGCAGTATTATGTGGCTTAGACTTCCCAGTGACTCATAAAATAACTTTCCTGTTTCATGTAGAACAGTGGTTGTCAAGTCCCTTTTCCCTGCCCCTGCACATACTAACATACCCACCTGGGCCACTGGATGACCACTGTAGTGATTCACTTGGGGTCTGAGGACTGTCCTGGAGGCAGTACCTGAACTGCTGTGGATTGTGATCCAGTCTCTGGAAAATACACTCTCTTCTCTCCCCATGGAGAATCATCAATGCAGAGTACAGAAATACAGTTGAACTAATAGATCATTTCCTTAGTAACCTAGCTTGTTAACTTTGTATTTTTTTCCCTCAAGAAGCCTCATCATCAAAATGTGACTTAAACTTAACACATTCATAAGAAGCATCAAGTTGTAATATTTCCTTTCAGAAGGATTAGATATGAAAAGGTAAGTATGGAATGTTTTGTACGGGGGAAAAAAGCTACTAAAATAAGTGAACAATCCCACAGGCTATTTTTTGCTTGTATTTATCCCTTGTTTCATGAGATCAACCTTTTGGAGAAATACTGGACAAGTCTCATGTTTTGTGTGACAGCTCTCTGAATATTTGAGGTTATCTGCAAGGTTGAAACATCCTTATTTCATTTCTTCAAAAAATATTTGAGTTCTTTAAAAAATGGCACCTGCCTCTTTAAGATGTGCCCGCTTCAATGTTATGAGGATTAAGTAGATAATACATGGAAAGGATTTAGAAAGAACTAAATAATAAATGGTAGCCATTATTAACATATACACCTACTACACAGGAGGAATCTATTGCTCATTTACCTAGTTAGTTTGTTGGTGAACTCCCACAGTGCACCCTGCTGGAAAATCTAAGAAAAAAGCTGTGGCATCCACTGTAGGAGAGTAAATTGGTCAACCCTAATTCCACTGTCCTACTTCTAGGAATTTACTTTGTTTATGCATTTGCAGGCAGAAGCTGTCCTAATGCAGCACTGTTTGTAATAGTAAAATACTAGGGACGGGGCTGGGGATTTAGCTCAGCGGCAAAAGCGCCTGCCTGGCAAGCGCAAGGTCGTGAGTTCGGTTCCCGGTACCGGAGAAAAACCAAAAAAAAAAAAAAAAAAAAAAAAAAAAAAAAAAAAAAAAACTAGGGACATCTGTAGGTTCTTCCCAATGAATGACCTCCCAAATGGAAAAGATGTAGACAACGGTGGGCAGGCTGCCTTTGTGAACAAGAATCATTGCAGATTCTCTGACTCCAAGACGCCAGAGATGACAAAGACATCATTAATTTATGTGTCCCTAAGAAAGGCTGACTACTGCTGATTAAACTGGCACACTGCTCAGAACATTTTGAGAATTCACCTACTTAGACATGAATTTCTATCATGTATCAACTTTGGACATAAATTAAAAAGGAGAAATATAGTTAAAATCAATGTTAGTTTTTGGTGATGCTAGGTAAGCCTACTTATATTCTGATTCAAGGTGTTAAATATGGAAAAGTAGTGTCTTAAACTGCACAAAGTATTAATTTGGACTCAGGAACCCTAGAATGAAACCCGAAAAACTCACTGTGGAGGGAATTTCTCAAGTAAGGATGAGTTAGAAGGGAAGAATCTGAAACTTAAAAATTTTTTTGAATACCTACTTTTTAAAAAGCCATTCCACTGTTGAAGTCAAGACTTTGAACTTAAAGGCACAGTTTCTCCCATCTTCAGGGACAGGGTCGCAGGAGAGACACGGAAAGGGCCGGCTGGCTTCCTGTGGCCAGGGCAAATGGTGTAAAACCCTCTCTAGAGTGCATTTTATGGGTTTGTCAGAGTTGGTCCAGTCAGGAACTCTTGCCCAGACTTTTGTGGAGGTCAAAGGAGAGTCTTTGGCTGGGTGCTTCTCATACCTTGGTCCTGGAATCCATGTCTATGTTCCACCCGGTTTCCTCTATCCTTGCAGAGAATCTGACAGTCTGATTTGGCTGTCTCTTGGGGCCCACTTCTAACTTCTGGGAGATGCTGTGTTCCCACACCTCACAGACTCCTAGGGTCCAGTATCCTCTACCATGATGGAAGCTAGCCTAGATCACTTGGGAAGGATGACAAGATTTGGGATGCATCTCAAGTGATGACTTGCTGCTGGAATAAACATGGCATGAGGGATGAGGAAACAGAGAGGTAAGGTCACATACAGTAGGAACTGGCTCAGACTGAGACTTGGTTCAGATGCTACAAGTCAAGGCCATGTTTTCTACTCTGCTTTTCTGGCCTGGGAGAGGGAGCTAGGAGGCCAAAGCAGGACATGAGGCCGAGCCAGGACACAACCAAAACCATTTCAAAGAAAGACCTTTTATTTGGGCCTGGGAAAGGGTCCTGAGGCAGCAGTTCCTTTAAAATGGCTGGAGTTTAGGATACAGGAAGCAGTAGACTGCATTTATTATCAGCTACTTCCCTTGAATGAGCTCCAGGTCTTTAAGTTACAGGCTGGGAAGGGTACGGTTGGTGGGCAGGAATGTGCCTGCTGGCCCTCTGAAGGCATTTTGGCAATGCCATCCAGTGTAAAGATGTGTCTAGCTCCTGCCCCCAAAACCTGCTTTCTCCCAAGGCTATCTCTGGAGGAAGCAACTAGGTACACAAAACTTTACCTACAGGGTTGTTTGGCATGGTAATCACACGTCTTAGAAAGGGCATCGTGACAGCTAATTTGCCTTTTTCAGTGATGAATTTGGGACATCCTTCCACCAGTACATGTCCCAGTCATTGCAGTACACCCTTAGTGAGGCCCTTTAATACCAGATGGTTCCCATAGTCACCAACTAGTGCTGGGGATGTCCCAAAATCCTCCAGTTGAGAACTGTCCTGAATTTAGAAGCCTGGGGACTGGTAGCTGAATATCCTATGAAAGCTCATCTAGGCCACCAGAACAAAAGAATGGGGCCTGGAGCCAGATCAATGCAATTTTTCTTATATTAGGTCAGGCACTGGGACTGTCTCAACTGCAACCACAGGGCAAGCTACATCAGCTGTCATGCTCCCTTCCCAGAGTGGGTGGAACAAGAGGCCTCTGCAAACCATTCTAGATGATGCAGGTGTAATTGGCAGGTTTAGGATCTCTTCTGATATGTGACTAATATAAGCAGAAACCAGGAGGAGGGGTAGGGCGGGGACTCAAGAGTGTGGAAGCAGGACCTAGGGGTGGGTGGAGTGCATGTACCTGACCACGGGTTCTGGAAGCTGAAGTCACCATGTACCACTTACCAGCTGTTACATGGGCTTAGGTTCTTGCAGTAAAACATGGAACCTGTGCAAAGCACTACAGTACTTATAGTGGCTGCTGTCAATCTCCTTCCAAGCAACTCATTAAAAAGTACAAAACTCTGCCGTCTTCATTCTGATTTTTAATGGTCAAGGTGGCAATAATTTTGTTTTCTAGATCTGTACTTACCTCCCAATTATTGCCACCTGCTACAGAAAACACTGGGGCAGGTACTACAGCTCTAGCAGGCTGCTGCCAGTTTGGCAAGTTTGGGATCGAAGCACCAAGCCAAGTTGAAACTACCATCTCCCATGGCTATAGGTGGATGCAGCACTGGTTCCTGGCTTGTAACAGAGTGAAGCCGGAAAGTGAGTGTCTGGTGGTGACTACTTGCAAAGAGAGTTGAGGCGCAAGATGGCTCAAAACCAGGTTGAATCTAAGTCTGTGGTTCATTTAATAGGGCAGTAGGAAACGTTCCATTCAAACATCAAAGGTCCTTCTTGCAACGAAGCCAGCTTAGGGGTCTGAAGGGTTTTTATCAGGCTATGACTACAACCTTAACTGCTGCAAGTCAGAAAGCTGAGCAAAGATGTGAAGTGAAACTTGCAACCCAAAGCTACATTCTGATATTACACTCAATCTCAAAAACTGCCAGAAGCCTCTCACAAACAACACAATAAAAGGCACCCACAGCACAGGACAGTACTGATCTCTTCAGCATCTTATTTGCCACATACTTCCAGTGAATAATTTACCCACCTCTTAGGTCCCCTCAGACTTCTGCCTATGGAATAAATAAAGCAACGGCAGCAACTGAGAACCACCAGGGGATAGCATCCTTGGATGATGGGAAGGGAAAGGGCTCGGCAGGTGTAGTAGAACCTCAGAGGGCCACAGCCTAGGAGTGTGGATATACCAGGCAGGGCTGAGTGAAAGGTGTATGGGGAAGCATTTATTTTCACTCAAAGAGGCTGTATCCATTCAGCTCTGACCTCTTCAGGGGACTTTTGGCACTGCCAATTTTTGTTAGGGCAAGTGACATATTCATATGGGAGCAAGTGGCTGCAAAGCCTCTTTCCATACATCTCATCTTCCTTCCCTTCAAAGAGAGCATCCTCCAGTCACTTTTTGGGGTTACAGAAGGGACATGTTAGTGGGTGAGGGTTGTGTGTGTGACAGTAGTTTTTATGCAGAGAGGATGGAAGAACAGCTCCCCACCATGCTCCCAAGGTAAATAACATTTTGTAGCAATCAAGATTTGCTCCAGTGGGAGTGTTCCCATACACATGCTGGTGATGTTTCTTCAATTTTTTTTTTTTAAATTTTTATTTTTTTTAAAGTCCACTGATCCTCACAAAAACCCAGGAAATGCAACTAAAGAAAAACTAATGTCCAACCAAAATCTAGGAACCCAGAGCTATGGAGGAGACATGGCACTGGAGCATGGCCCTGGGTATGCACAGGGGCAGGAGGGGTGATCCCCATGGGGCATGGCTGCCAACTGCAGGAGACACAGGAAGGAAGGGGCCCGAGGCTGAGCGGTTATGTTAACCGCTGCACGATGACAGCATTGAGTAGGTTGGCTTCCTTCAGTGTTTGGCTCTCATCAGCCAGCTCTTTGTTCGGAAAGGTAGTCATGAGGACAAAGCTGGTGGCAGCCATGGCCGGCCGGGCATCCACGATGAAAAGTCGGATGTCGCTGATCCTGAAGGAGTGGGGAGCAGGTGAGCAGTTCCATCTCTGGTGCCCACAACCCCCACCCCTGGAAGGATGAACAAGAGTCTCTTCCCTGCCCAGCTTCACCATGAACAGCCAAAGCAATCATTTAGAAGCACATCAGACCAGTCCTTCCCCTGCTGATATCTCCATTTTCTTTACTGTGGTCCCAAGGCCTACCTAATTTTGTCCTCCTTCCCTTTATTCTCTTTTTTCTCCTTTTAGTTTCTCATTAGGCCATACTCCCGTCCCAGCCCTCTTTTCACACACTCTCTTGCCTCCCTTCCATAATCCTAGCCACGCTTCAGGCTGGACTGACAATTTCCTCTGCAACCTTACCCTGCTCCTAGTTGTTCTTTGACCTTCCTTTTGTAGCACCAGTAAAGTGTGTAAGCACACAATTCTAGGATGACCTGATTACTGCCCCCTACAGACCACAAATTCCTCTGGGGAAGATAATATCTCTTTTCTATGCCATAGGAGGCACTCAAATTATGTCATCAATCCTCAGTTCCAGGAATCCCCTGTCTAGATGTTGCTTATGCCTTGAACCTGGTGATCATGAGAATGGAGTCATCTGAAACTATTTGTCCCTAGAGTGCTTGAACAGAAGTTTCCTTCTGCTTGCAAGCCCCAGGACCTATGCCATCTACAGTGTGGTCCTTGTGCAAGATACATGCAGCCTGAGATGGAGCAGACCAGGCCCTCTCACCCACACTCTGCATGGGCTATGCTCCCTAGGCTGAGCAGCAGTTCTGCTGGGGTTGACAAGAGAAATAAAACTGAAGTGAGTAACTCTGGCCAGTAAGATGGGTCACTCCATCTCAGAGAAGTACAAGGAAGGATCCAGATATTCCTCACACTGGCGGCTCGATGCACACCTCTATGAGGAACCCAGTCAACATCCAATGAGTGCCAAACCATTCACTGGCCCCACAAGTAGATCTTGGCTTGGTTGGCCCACTACAGATAAAACTTAAACACCCCTGCTCTACAGAAAGGAGTTGTCAAGTATCTTTATTAGCTACAATCCTCCAGCACCTCTCCCATTAGTCTCTTCTTGTGGCGCCTCAGTTTCCCCATCTTTGAAATAGAGGCAGCAGTTTGCTCTGATCCAGTCCAGACAGTCTCAGAGAGTAGAGCAGATCTCAAAGACCAGACCAACAAAAACCTTAACAGCCTTGTGGTTTTCAGAGACCCCTGGAGGGAGTGAGGTGGAGGAGGCCAGGTAGGTGGGGTGTGAACACTGCACCTTCTCTTTGCCATTAACCACAGCAGTTCTAATTTGACCTCTTTTACACCTAGGCTTTAGCAGAAGACTGCCTTTGAACAGAGTCTAGTGGTTTAAAAAAACCAAGGATGAGGAAGGGGACCATAGGAGAGATACGAGCAGTCCTCAGTCATACTAACAGAGAGCGGGAACAGGACCCAAAGGCACCAGACTTGCAAACTCTCTACCCTTTCCTCCAGAAGGGCTGCAGGTGTGCAGGTGTCTGGGATACTGCTAGAAAATCTAGACCAGATGATACAAGGTACCTGTGGCTGTGGTTAAATTTCTGTACCAGCCTCCCACCATCGGCAAGTCGTATTTGGATGTTGGTAGTAGGCTCTGACTCGTTGATTAAGACAGAAGAGCTGGCTTTGGCTTCATTTTCTGCTTGCTGGGCTGGAGAGCTGGTACTCAACACCTGGGGGGCCGTGCTGAAGAGAGAGAACATTAGGGTTGTGTAGCAGGGAATTCCTTCTCACATTTTTACTGAGCATCTGCTGTGTGCCTGGCTCATGTCTGGTGTTGCTGATGCAGTGATCAGGATAGACTGAAACCTGCCCTTGTGGGACTTACAGGTCCTGAAGAATTCACTTCAGACCCCAAGTGTGGATGCTCGCTCCCTCACTCCCCAAGAAGCCTTGGGTCAGGGACTCACTCACTCTTCTTCCTCAAGTGCTCACCTGAATAAGTATTGTACGCAGGAAGCCTGAGGCTGGAGAAACAGAGAATAGGACTGCGGGGCTCAACAGCAAGGCTAAGTATCAACTTCTATGAAGTGCTGAGGGTAGCACTCCCAAGTTTACAGCCAAGAATCCTGGATACAACCTGGCAGGCTACCAGTTGTGGTGGACTCTTCAAACCTACATCCCCATGTACACGTGGGTATGTCTCATATTCATGTGCCAACTATGGGTGTGTGTGTGTGTGTGTGTGTGTGTGTGTGTGTGTGTTGTATGTGGGAGCGCGATGGCAAGATTTCTTAAAGGGCAAAAAAAATGGACTCGTGCAGTGAAGAGGACATGAAGTCTGCTAGTGGTTGGAGCTTGATCTTAAGAATCATATAGGCCAGGATTGTGTGGCCTTGCACAAATCAGTCAGGTTCCCTTAGTTTTAACAAGGGTAATAACAAGGACTTTTAAAAGGATTAAGGCTACCTGCCTTGCCTCAGTCAGCTTTTGTGAGGACTAAAGGGGAAAATTCCATCAAGTACTGAGGGTGGTGGACAAATACAAAGTGAACATAAACTCTCAATTCACAACAGTGAATTGAAGCCTTCTCTCTTCTAAACACCCATTCACCTCATTCTTATCTTTTCTCTTAGCAGACCTGGCCTACACCTTCACAGGAGAGAGGAAGCATTAGTCTGACTTTTCCCTCAAGCCCCTAATTTTATCAGCCTCGCTGCCTCACCCTTGCCCTGATCTTTATAATCTAAAAAGTGCACATGCAGCAAATCCAACTGAAAATGCTCTCTGGAATGTTTCATAGAATCCTAGTTCCTTGAGGCTGGCAGAGGACTAAGAAATGCCACGTAATATTTTAGTAGCACCATCGAGTATTAAAGGTTTCAAGAGATTGTGCAGTGAAGGCAAACAGTGAACCACCAGGTCCTGCACTTTACACTTGTTAACATCTTGCAGAAATAGTATTTCAAGGATCCTAGTTTGTGAAATGTTGCCTAGAAAACATAAAAAGCAAAGTAAATATCCTTTTCTGTGAATGTGAATAATATGAGCTGAGGGAACTAGGAAATGGAATGCAGAGAATGCTGGCCACATCAGTGTGTTGAGAGAAGCTGCTCTGTACATCAGCCTCACAGGATGAGGACTCAAATGTAGGCTGGCACACACAGGCAAATTATGTGCTCACAGCCTTGTTTGGAAACAGTGGAAAGTTACAGATTACACATGTAAATGTTTTACAGCTACTAATACTGTTTGTTTAGTAGTTTTATGGGCATAAGGTCCACTCTTCAATTAGATTACAGGGAGCCAGTCTGATCCCTCAACAGTTTGTAACAATTCTAAGTATGTAACAGGTACTCATTGAAGCTATTGCCTACCAGAAAGAGATGACCACATTTTCAGTGAGACTTAAAATGAGGAAGCTGTTATATTCAAGTAGCAGACATCTGTTCAGGTAGAGTAAAGGAAGGGGAAAATAGGTGTGACATCTATACCTACTTTGTTCAGGTGTTGTATAGGGGGCTTTATATTAGCCTCCCTGAATCATCATGACCACCCTTTCAGATAGGGATTATCTCCATTTTACAGATGAGAAAAGAGAACCACATGCTATAGATCAGTTCTAAAAATTTTACTTATCCAACAAACAACTTTCTCCCTTTATGTATTTTTCTATATATTCCCCCTAGCCAAGACTCTGTTGAGATTTACTTTATGGAACTAATATTTGTATTGAAAACACATCCTCAATCTCCTCCCCTGCTCCTGGGGGAATCTAATGCACTCATCAGTTAGGAACTTATGACCTTTAGCATGTCACTAAAGATCTTGATGTCTCCATCTACTTCTCTGAAAATGGGAGATCCTGTCCTTACCCTCTCCTACTTTTTAGTGTATGGCACCCATTATTACTAAGGACAGTAGGTGGACAGAAACTTTTCAGGAGTACTACAAGCCATCTTGTCCCAGCTCTATTAACCTATGGCCTTGAGAACAGGCTCACTTTCTAGGGAGTTAGTGTCTTTGTGTAAAACAAAGAGCTGTTTGCATGGGGATGCACACCTGTAATCCCAGCAAATAGGAGACTGAGGCAAGAGGATCATGAGAGCTACACAGTGGGAGTCAGTTGTGAACTTTCCCTTATAACTGATGTGGAGGTAAAAACTAGATACCGTACCACATTTTTAGAGGGCAATTTGACATCTTATAAATATGATGATCTTTTGAGCCAGCAATTTTATCTCTAGCCCAAGATTATAGGATATACAAAGATTTAATTACAGAGATATTCACTGCAATGTTCATGGTACTGGCAGTCTGCTTATGTATTTCAGCAATGACTGGTGAATTATAGCACATCTCTGTAAGAAACAAAACCACATAAGCATAGAAATGAAAGTACAGAAATACATGTACTTAATGAAATGACATCTATACTTCACTGATTAGGCAAAAAGCAGGGGACAAAACAGCATGCACATCAGTCAGCTTCCTATGATTATAACAAAATACTTGAGCTATCTATAAAAACTATATTTGGGCCACAGTTTTGGAGGTTCCAGTGCAAAATAGGGCAGACCTACTGTCTCTGGGCCTTTGGTAGGCACGCCACGTGGTAATACTGGGGAGAGCCTGGCAGAGCAAACTGCTTACCTCATGGCCAGGAAGCAAAAAAGAAAACAAGAGGAGCATAATCCCCTTTGAAGGTATGTCCCCAGTGACCTAAGGACCTTCTACTAGGCCCCAGCCTCAAGGGTTCCAAAACCTCCCAATGGTGCCACCCTGGGGGCCAAGGCTCTTAAGAGTGGGCTTTTGAAGGACATGTACCCAAATCACATAGCAGCATGTTTACAAACATGCACACATGTATAAAACTAGAAGGATATGTTCTCAGAGACTAACTAAATATTTCTGGGTGTTATGATGTTTAGAAACAATTTATTCTTTATCTGGATTTCCTATTATTTTACATTTATAAAACAAAATAAAACAAAAAAACAGGTGTCTACAAAGCTCACTGAGGCTGACAGGGACACTAACTTTGAGCATGGCTATTCTGGGCCAGCCAACAACCCCCATTTGGCAGGTGAGATGATGAAAGCAGGCTGACACAGCTATGTTGGTTCTGCTAAGTCACAATCTCTTGGTCTCGAATGCTCTGAGCTCTGACCCTTGCTCTGAGGAGGTGTGAATGGACAACAAGGAGGTAGGAGATTTCTGGAGAGAATCACCCATAAGAGAAGTCTGAGCTGCTGACAGACCAAGCACTGATCCCTGAGGAGTACTGAGGAGAGCAAGGGCTGTTGCTAGCTTGAGAGCTGCCAGCCTGAGGGCAGAAGTGTGGGAAAGAATGCTAATCAGAAAGCCTAGGTTCTGCCAGTCTACCATATGAGCTATGTGCTCAAGGGGCAGTCCTCAAAGCCTAAACAGGCTCAGCTTTTCCTCTAAAATCAGGACTTTCTTGGCAAGGAATTCCATGCTAAATATCTGTCATATACATGGTTCCCTCTGAAGAATACTAACTACTGACCCCATGGCCATGGTCAAAGATGGAGGAACCCTGAGAGAAGGCAGCCTACCCCTGGATGGCCAAGGTCCTAGTGGAAGAATTCTGCTCATCATGGTTTATCAGTGACTATTAACTAATCAGATCCAGCTGGAGTTTGAATACAAGATAAGAATGACTTGGCAGAGGGTTAAGAAGTGGGAAGATAGGACAATGGTAGAGGACATTGGCAAAGACTGTCAGGCGGGACCAAATAATAAAGAGCTGGTGGGCTGCTACAGTGGTGGAACACTTACCTGCACGAACAAGTGTCTTCGACTCCTGATCCTAAGCAATGCTACTAGGTGGCCTGGCTGGGTGGGAAAACCTGCAATTCCTTATCCCTGAGTCCCAGTTTAGACCTGAAGTCATCAAGGAGATCAAACTTTCCCCAACACTTTTGATAACTGAGCCAAAGCACCAATTGTGTTACTGGTCACCAAGGGCAGTATTCTATATGCATCAGTTCTTTTATTTCTTGCAACAACAATCCTAGCAGGTAGGGACTCTTTTAATCCCAACTGATAGCTGAGGAAACAGACTATCAGGTCCAAAGTCACACAACTACAAAATGAAGGAGGGTCTTTACTTTGAACTTTTAAACTCCAAAATTCACATCCTCCATATTCTTCTTTCCATAAAAATAAAATTTGAACTACTCTGTAAACAGGTATCCCCACTGCTCTAGTGAGAACACAAGGTCTGCTGGGCCCTGTCTATTGGGACTGTCTGGGGACTACTGGTGCTGCTTCTTACCTGCCAAGTTTCTGGCCTTCACCAGTGAAGGCTTTGAAAGCTCCCTTGGGCTTTACAAAGTCCTCGTCCCGATGGTCTTCCATATCCAAGTTCACCTGCCCACCATGAGCTAACCTCCTCAGCTCTGCTGGCACCTCCCTGTGAGGGAAAAGGCAGTATTGGGGTTCACAGCAAGTAGGATATTTGCCAGGGATGTGGTGAGAGAAGAAGCCTCTCAGTTCCAATGCTGAAAACTACTAGGCGCTGGCTACTCCAGTGGCTACCTCTGCTTTCTTTCTTACCTGCTTAGTCACAGTAGACACCTACTTATTTGGCCACTTAGCTCTGCCCCAGGCTAAAAAGGGAAAAATGAATAAAGTTTTTAGAGCAGAACTGTGAACCTGTGTCTCAATCTGTCTCATCTGTGCTAACTCTGCTTCAAAAATTTTATTTCTCACATAATAAAATGCTCTGTCTCTTCCTTTTTAACTTGGCATCTTATTCACTAATTTGGGACTCAAAGAGGGCTTTTCTGCTCACCCTCTGCGGATAGACTCTAGAAACTGGGCATTGGATGGGTCTTGGTAGCTTCTGAGCTCGCCATTGTCCAGGCTGAATCCACTTTTCCAGAGCTTCAGAACAACATGAACCTATGATGACAGGAGGCAAGCAGTTAATATAGCCATAAACTTGTAGAGTACACCAACCTGAATTTGCAAGATAGTGAGCTTTTACTATGTCACCACATTGCTATTATTAAAACACAGACAGGCACACACATATATACACACATGCATGCAAAGGGAACTCAATTAACAACCAACCAAGAATTCATTAACCTAAAATAGGATGGTGATATGGCAGAGGCTAGTAGCATGGGCAGTGTTTTAAGGAGAGCTAGGTTTGTATCTTGACATTGCCATTCATGAGCTGGGTAGCTCTCAGCAGGTGACTCAATTGAGGTTAAGACTCCCTTATCTGTATGGCTGCAAGTATCTCTGGTATATAGCTAGTGTTCTCGCTCATCTATTCATGAATACTTTGCACTCATTAAACATGGTATCTACAGCTGGGTGTATGGTATTATGTGTCTGTAGTCCCAGCTACTTGGGAGGCTATGGCGGGAGGATCACTTGAGCCCAGGTGTGCAAGACTAACCTATTTGAGATAATGAGACTCTGTCTCAAAAATAAACAAAAGCCCACTCCGCTGATTCTAGCCTCTGTGAGGCTGAGGCAAGAGGAATGCAATCTGGATCCCAGCCTGGGCAACTCTGGGCAATACTTAGCAACTCTGTCTCAAAATAAAAAGTAGTAAAACATGGGCTGGGGATATAGCCCAGTGAGAAGCCCTGGGTTTAATTCTCAGCACTGAAGAAACAAGAAAGAAAAGGGCTAAGAAGGCTAAAACAAGGAATGTAAACATGTACTACAAATGTGTACTAACAAAAAAAAAACAATACAGTCTGTTTAAAAAGTGAAATATACAGAAAACAAATATGTCAACTGAAATTAAGAAAAAATTTTAAGTTGTTCATTTTTATTAACAAGTAAGTTTGACTGCATCATACCAAATGCGGAAAACCTAAAAGCACTCCCCCTAATATCAGGAACAAGATAAAGATGTCCACTATCACTTCTACTCAACACAGTACTTGAAACATCAGCCAGAGCAATTAGGCAAGGAAAGAAATGAAAGATATACATACAGGAAAGAAAGAACTCAAACTATCATTATTTGCAAATGACATAATGTGCTACATAGAAGACCCAAAGAACTCCACCAAAAAATTCTTAGAATAACCAATTTCAGCAAAAAAGCAGGATACAAAACTAACACACAAAAATCACTAGCATTTGTGTACAATGAATGGGATGAGAAGCAAATCATGAAAACAATACCATTCACAGTAGCCTCAAGAAAAAAATAAAAAAAGAAATATCTAGGAATTAATCTAACCAAAGAAGTGAAAGACCCCTACAAAGAAAACTACAGTAACCTGAAAAGGAGACTGGAGAGGACATCCAAGACGTCCCCTGATCTTGCGTAAGCAGAACAAATATAGTCAAAATGGCCATATTTCCAAAAGTGTTACACAGATACATGCAGTTTTAATCAAAATACCAATAGCATACTTTATAGATCTAGAGAACACAACCCTGAAATTCATATAAAACCAGAAGAGACCCAGAATAGCAAAAGTAACTGTCTTAGTTACTTTATTGTTGCTGAGACAAAATACCTGACACCCAAAGTTAAAGGGGGAAAGGTTTAATTAGCTCAGTTTGTAGAAGTTTCAGTCCATAATTGCTGGCTCCAAGGCAGGGTGGTTTGGCAGACAGGCACCACAGAGGAGGAAATATTTCATGGTAGAAGACAGCAAAAGCAAGTAAGCAAAGGGATCCACAGTCCTTTCCCTTATATCTTATCGAGGGTACTTGGGGGAGTGAGGCGGTAAGCCCTCACAACCTTTATCCTAGTGCCCTTGACCCTAACACTGCACCATGAATCAATTCTAGGTGTCACACACACTAGATCCAACCACCTCTGGAAAAGCTCTACCTATGATTGGATGAAGCTTTGGGGGAACATCTACATATAGCCATAACAGTAACTGTGGCAGTAAGAGCAAAGCAGGCAGCATAGCAATACCTTACTTCAAGCTATACTACAAAGCAATAGAGAAGCTGGGCGTGGTGGTGCACGCCTGTAATCCCAGCACTGGGGGGGATTGTTGGGAGGATTGTTGAGAGTTCAAGGCCACCCTGGGGTACAATGTAAGCTCAAGGCCAGGCTGAATTGCATAGTGAGACCCTGTCTCAAAAAGAAAAACAAAAGACAAAGCAATAGTGATAAAAGTGGTATGGTACTGAAACAGAAACAAACACGTGGATCAGTGGAACACAATCGAGGATACAGAAACCTCACCAGACATACTCAACTATCTGATCTTTGACAAAGGAGCCAAAAACATATGCTGGAGGAAAGACAGCCTATTCAACAAGTGGTGTTGGGAAAACTGGTTTATCTATTTGCAGAAGAATGAAACTAGACCCTTATCTCTCATCATATACTAAAGTAAACATGGATTAAAGATTAAAACAGAAACATTAAACCTTCTGGAAGATAAAATAGGTAAAACATCTGAAGACATAGGTGTAGAAAAGGATTTTCTAAATACAATATCAATCATACAAGAAATAGCAAGAATCAACAAATGGGACTATATCATACTAAAAATCTTCTACAGTAAAAGAATCAGTAGAGTGAAGAGATAACCTATAGAAGGAGAAAAACTTTTGCCAGCTACTCCTCAGGCAGAGGACTAATATTTAAAGTAGGGAAAGAATGCAAAAAAAAAAAAAAACACCTAAAATTAAAGACCCGGTCAAGAAATGGGCATGAGCAATGAATACATACCTCACAGAGGAAGAATTACAAATGGTCAAAAGATATATTAAAAAATGCTCAACATCTCTAGCCATTAGAAAAATAATGTAAATAAAACTAAGATCCCACCTTACTTTGCAAGAATGGCAATCATGAGGAAATCAAACAATAACAACTGCTAGCATGGTCATGGTAAAAAAGGAACCCTCCTCCATAGTTGGTTGGAATGTAAACTAGTACATCCATTATGGAGAGTAGTATGGAGATTTCTTAAAGAACCGAAATTAGAAATTCCATACAACCCAGCTATCCCCCTGCTAGGTTACCTTCCCTAGAGCATAAGTTATACTGCAGTGTTACTTACATACCAATGTTTATAGCAGCACAATTTGTAACAGCTAAATCCTGGAAGCAACCTGTATACCCATCAACAGATGACTGGATAAAGAAAATGTGGTATCTATATATATAATGGAATACTACTAGACCATAAAAAATGACAATTCGAGATATCTGAAGGAAAATGAATGCACCTGGAAAAATATAATGTTGAGTGAAATAAATCAGACACACAAACTTAAGTACTGTATGGTTTCTCTCAGTTAAGTGAGGCAAAGTACAAACAAAGAAAATGATATAGGATAGATAGAAAGGGACAAGGCGATGGGCCTCTTGCCATAGGGAAGTGAGGAGTGAGGACGGGAAGGGGAAATAATAATAAAAAAGATATGCCATGTACAGGACCCTAATAACCCCAATTAATGCAAACATTACATACCACAACATGAACTAAGACAAATAAAAGGTTTTTTTTCTTTTGGAGTCAGGGTCTCACTATATAGCTCAGGCTGGCCTTGAACATGTGGTGATCCTCCTGCTTCAGCCTCTCAAGTGCTGGGATTAAAGGCGTGTGCTACCACACCTGGCTGCTAAGACAATATCAGCAAGTATGAAAAAGAGAGAGGATCAGGTGGGGGAGGAGGAGAAGAGAAGGGGAAGAGGATTAAAAAAAAAACCAAACATATGCACATGTAACCACTTCCAAGAAGACTATAAACTGCATGAACTGCAAACATATATTAATAAAATATAAATTAAAAAAGCAAATAAAGTACATATATTCACAATATGTAAAAAGATAGATAATAGGAAATAGGCAGATAGGTGTTTTTCAAGTGGGAAGAGGATCAAGAGATGGAGGGAGGGCAGAGGAAGAGGGTGAAAAATAATTAAAATGTATTATGTACATGTACCAACTCTTCATAAGGGATATAATCAGTATGTACTATAAACACGTACTAATAAAAAAAAAAACACACAAAAAAGAAGGCTGAAAGCTAATGCATTAGTAACTGCTGCCACAAGTAGACAGGATTTTTATTTTCTTTCTGTTTGACTTTACTTTGGAATAAGACCCAAAGTAATTTAAAAGATACGGGGGCTGGGGATTTAGCTCAGCAGCACAGTGCCTGCCCGGCAAGCACAAAGTCGTGAATTCGATCCCCAGCACCAGAAAAAAAAACAAAAAAAATTTAAAAGATACATTATTATAGAAATAAATGGTCACAGGCCTACCTGAAAATGTTTGTGGCATATTAAAAATTTAAAAACATTCAAAATTATCCATTAAGTGTGACTGCACCCTATATACACAGAAGAAGTACTAAAGAATAATAAGGAAAACTAAACATGAGTTGTGTTTCAGGCCTTCTCTGGTGGTCTGAAAAGCAAATTCTTTAGCCACACCCACTTCACTAGAGAATCTAGATACACTATCCCTCTGCCTGAGATCCACAGAATGCTCAGAAACCTTCACCTGTCCATCCATCCCTTCCTCTACCCCTTCTCATCAGCTCCTGCCCAATGAGATGAAAGCTGCCTCTCATATCCCTGTAAGGCCCCTGTTCAGCCCACAGCAAGGGCAGTGTCTCTGCAGACCTCTCTCACACAGACTGCTGGTTCATGCACAACATGTGATCAATCCCTTCTGAAAAAGGGTGGGCTCACAATTCACAAGCTTCTGTAAAGAAGGCAGCAACATACTCACATCCTGGCTGGAATGCTGCCTCCTTTCTCCTGCCACATAGGCAGACTCTTCCTCCGGTGCTGCCCCAAGGCGGTAGCCACCTCCTGCAAAGGGCTATAAAACACAAGTTCATAAACACTTGGTGGTAGAGTCACTCAGGTACAATGATGCATCTTAGGTACATGAAAGAGGACAGGGTTCCTGATCAAGCCAGTACTTAGATGTACTTTCTCTGAGTATCAAACTTGGTGTCCATAAAGACGAGCATCAAGGTAAATAAATCAAATGGCCAAGATGGCAGTGAAACTTGGAAGGCACAGTATACCCAGCCAAAGAGAAGAGAAGCTACTAAAATCTAAGTAAGTGTGGCCATGTAAAAATTTGGATGCAGGATTAATACAAAAGACTTTCTGATTTCCCCTAAGACAGAAACTCAAATTTGGGATCTAGGCTGTAGGCCATATGTTTGAGGACTCTGTCCTCAATCATGGTTTCATGTTGAAGGTAAGAGAAACTACACTTTAGAAAAAAAAAAGAAAAAAAAGAAACTACACTAGTTTTCTGTACAGGTGACCAAGTGAGCAAATGAGAAAAACAGTCACCAGTAAAGTAAAAGAGGACCCCTCTCCACTGTGGAACCTGAGCACTACAGGCACAGGCAATGACCCTTAATGCTCACTCTTGGTTTACTGGTCTCTCCAGGGCTCTTGGTCACTCGCTCCACAGCTACAGCTCCGTGCTCCTTAGCACCTTTAAAGAGATCATCCACCAGCTCGTTGGGACTTTTCTTCCTGGGAGGGCCAACAATCTGTTGTCCACTTCTCTCTGAGCCCCCAGCATAAAACCTGTGCAGAAAACATACTTCTAACACCAAATGCACTTGGAAAACAAACAAAGCATGCCACAGGCTCTGGGCACAATGAAGCAAAGGATACAGTGTCTACTTTTAAAGAGCTTACTGGCTACTTGTGGACACATATAAGAAGGCAGGCAGGTACAATGCAATGTGAGAAGCTATGAAGACAGTAATGGGCCTCTGGGTACAATGAGCTGGGGAGGACACCAAGGGCTTCCTAGGAATATGCATCTGGGCTGAGTCTGGAGGATGAAGTTATCAAATGAACAGACTGGGGAAGGGTATTCCAGGCATGCACAACAGCTTGTCAGTGCAGGAGAGCACCAGAACTGTGACTGTCCATCTGCAAGCCAGCAACTCTCTGAGATAAGGACTAGGATTCCAGTCATTAGCTGCTACCTCTAGTAGTTCTGAGTTAATGATGGCTGTGGCGTGGTTAGTACAAGCAGCTAGGCTCCAGTCCTGGCCCTGTCACTGTGTGATCTGGGTAAACTGGTGCACTATTCTGTATACTGTCCTTGTCTCTGAAATGGGAGGGAGGGACCACATGCCCTACCTACCTGCTCCTTAAGTCAGGGCCGTGAGGTTCAAATCAGCAGATGTATGCAAAAGAACAAGCACAGTAATGCACATATGTGAGGTGGTGTGACACAACACCAAGAGCTCCCCCAAGACTCACTTCACCTTGTCATTCTTGTGACATACACTGGGGGCCCTGAGGAGATGATACTAGAGAAGGCCGGGGAAGCTCCAATCTCAAATACAAGCTCCAATATATCCATACCAGGCTTTATAATGAGTGAGGACTGGCTTCAGTATAAGTTAGTACTTTTTTTTTTACGTTGGCCTGAAAACCAGTTGTCACATAGCTGATTACTCCTATTCATAGTTAAGAAATAGTATGTCCCCAGATTGGGAGATGAAGACTAGTATAAATTACATTCAACCCTCAATCCTGCATTTTTTCTTTTTTTTGTTTTTTTTTCTGGTACCAGGAATCAAACTCACGACCTTGTGCTTGCCAGGCAGGCACTGTGCCGCTGAGCTAAATCCCCAGCCCAATCCTGCATTCACTATGAAATATGACACAAAGCATAGGTCCTGGCAGGGACAAGGTGGTAGTGTTGTTTTAGGTCTGAAATGCTAAGGCCAAGAAAGTTGTGGGCATATGAATAATGCAAGGTCATAGTTTGGAGGACATGACTGGGCAGAAAGTGGAGAAGGCTGGCATTTACATACTGGATGACACTACCTCAAAGATGTAAAACTCTGTCAGTAACACAGAACCTTCAGTCTATGTAGAAGGAAGGTTCTGACAGCAAACAAGGGCTGGGCATGGTGGGATATGTCTGTAATCCCAGCACTTGGGAAGCTACACAGGAGGACAAGACCAGCCTGAAATACACAGCAAAACCCTGTCTCAAAACAAACAAACACCAAAACAACAAACATATGTAATTTCTCAGTTCACTTCCCAGAGACTAACCATTGTTAGGTAGCTGCATTTTCATAATGGTTACTATATGTTTCTTAGGAATGTTCAACAGGCTGACACAGACCCATGAGGAACTAAAACCAGTGACATGGGGCTGTGGCCAATTCATTCTTTTTTGACTCAGGTAGGTAAGTGTCTACTCAGTGTACTGCAAAGTCTTTATTGAGGGATCTCTAAGCCGGGCTTAAGAGCTAGGAGGCTGTGATCAACAGCCTTAAAAATATTCAAGGCCTTGACTTGACAGTTTCATTTCTAAGAATGACTGTAAGAAAATAATCTGAAATGTGGTCAAAGATTAATATACAAAGATATTTACAGCACTGATACTTACAATAGTAAAAAACTAGAAACAACTGAAATGTTGGACATCCATATGATGGGTTATTATTATAGGCTCTAAAAATGCTTATGAAGAATTTTAACAATATGGAGAATTTTTTAAGACTTACCATTAATCCAACAAAAGCAAAATTATCTGCGCTTCATTGTGTAAAATATAATATAAAGTATATTTATGTTTAATTTATAGACTGAATAATATACCAAAATATTAACTGTAGTTACCAAAGGATAAATAAGTACTTTTTCATTACACTAGTTCATATTTTCCATAATGCACGTTATCTTTACTATACCATTCCTAAAACTTAAAAACAGTGTATGTATGTGTGGACTGGGAGAATATACATCCATAAGCCTATTATTCTACATATTGCTTATGTATTGCTTTTTCCTATAAAAAGCTAGAAAGAAATAAACTAAAAATATTGATACCTAGTTGTGCCTTGCCTATGATATTATAAATGACTTTCTCCTTCTTACTGGTTTGTTTCCCTCCCCCTAATATTCCTCAAAAAATATATACTGTTTTAATAGTCAAAAAACCCCCAAACAAACCCAGAATACCACAAAAGAAAAAAAAAAAGCAAGGGAGAATGATGACTTCTCAACTACAGGGAACAGGCTATGTTCTCAGAATAAAACCCCATGAACAGTAATGGTTAACAATAATCAAGCATATTTCTTGTGCCAGGTGATTCGTGCATTACTGTGAACTTCTCTTAGGCTCTGCCCCCACATCAAAGACTTACCTTTGGCCCTCTTCCTCCTCGTCATCCTCATCTTGGTCATGAATGAGGTCTCTGAAGGATGTCACCCTATTATCACTAGAGACACAGAAACAAGTAAAATGATTTCAGGGAGAGTTGAAGAAGGTAATTCCCATCATCAGCTGCTAAGCTGAGGAACTGGAATTAGATTTTTTTTTTAGTGAGGTGAGAAGAGGATACCTGTGGACGAAGGCCAATCCTGCATTCACTATGCACACTACCTCAAAGATGTAAAACTCTGTCAGTAACACAGAACCTTCAGTCTATGTAGAAGGAAGGTTCTGACAGCAAACAAGGGCTGGGCATGGTGGGACATGTCTGTAATCCCAGCATTTGGGAAGCTACACAGGAGGACAAGATAATGTAGCATTTATTTCAGCAATGTTACACAGGAGTAAGGCTAAATTAGAAAGTGATATTGTGAGGTAAATATAATCTAATTTAAGCTGTCCTGGAAGTGGGATAATGGAGGTCTTTACTACCTTAAATACTTACCAGGTTTTACTGGCTAACTAATTTTATCATTTAATTCTCAAAAACTTATGGAATGCCTATGCCAGACACTATATTGGACACCAGATGTAAAGATAATCAGAGTCAGTTCTTACAGGCTAGTGGGATACATGGTCCAGGCAATCATTCACTAGATCCTGTGTGGCAGAGGAAATCCAGGGGCCTTAAGAGTACAGAGCCTTTTGCTCTGAGTGAGGGAATGTCAAGAAGGACTTCCCATAAAAACACTACATTTTAACCACTGCTAATGAACTGGAAGATAGTAATCAGGTAGATAAAAGTGGTGGGGCTGGAGGAGAAAAGGCACGGATATAGCATTTCACGCAAGCCACATGTGCAAATGCACAAAGACAAGAGTCATATACTTAAGGAAAGACAAGAAGTGAATATGGGGGTAGCAGCACTGAAGGAGGAAAGGGCCCCACCTACTTCTGCTACCGGTCAGTCAAGAAAAGGTATTAGTATTTACAGGAAAAGAGCGCCACGTGGTGTGGGGTGCAGGTAGGGAGGGCACTACTAAACAAAGGTGCGAGAAGAGTTTATTCCCTCTTCTAACATTCTTACATTGCCACTTTCTTTCTAGTTTAGACATGCTCTCAAGGAACAAGCTTAGTTTTTTAAGGCCCATATGAGATAAGTTTTGTAAAGATAAAAAACAATTCTCTCTATCTCAGGGGGAAAAATAGCTTTCTTACAGAATGGGAGTGGTGGCTGAGTAAGTTTCCTGAGGTCAAACTAAGAGGAAGAGGTTATTTACTAGGGAAAATGTTCCAGCTCAGTCTTGGAAGATTTATTTCGAGGAGATAATCGGGGGACAAGAGAAGCTATGGAGTTCCAAAAACTAGCAACAAGAAGACACAGTCCCTGCTTGAGTAGATGAGGACAACATCCTGAGCATTCCTTGAGCTAGATATAATATAGTTCAAAAGGATCTACTTGATGACATTTGCACTAGCACATGTTAAATCTACTTACTCACCTTCTCACGGCAAGTTTTCCAGCTAAAGTCTCTGAATAATGAGTATCCATGGAAAAACAATCTCCTTGCTGTTAAACTCTTTTCCATATACACATGTATACCTTCTTGAGCAAAGTATTTGCTCCGGCTATGCATTTCTTTCCTTCCCACAAAAACCTATACATCTAGATTCTCACATAAACCTATGTCATATCAACCCCAACTCTGTCCCCTACCCTGGGATCTTGGGCATGCTATTAAAATTCTTTAAACCTTCATTTTTTCACATGTAAATGCAGGCAATCCCAGCACCAGCCTCCAGGGCTTTCTGTGTACAGCTGAGATACTGATGCATGTAGAGCTGTTTACATGCTGCAGTGCATTTAAATATTACTCATGAGCAGCAATTTTTGAAGTATGGTTCTTGGATTAGGAACATCAGTGTTACCTGTGAACCTCTGAGAAATGCAAATCCTTAAGGTCCACCTCCAGAAACTCTGGAAGGGGTGCCTAGCATCCCAGTTTTAAAGAGCCTTAAAGGTCATTTTGAGACAGCCTCAAGTTTAAGAAACACTGCTCTGGAGTAATGCTCTGAGAGTCAGTCACCTTATAGTACTGATGTCTTGGGGACATTACCAATTTCAGAAGCCTTTATCCTATGCGCTTTATAAATTGTACAAAGTCTTGGAAATTTCCATTTTTTGGCAATAAAATCCTATCCCAGGTCACTTTGGCAACTTCAAGTAGCACAAAAGTTCTTTATTAAATCTCACCTGCATTTAATCCGGTCATCTTGGTTCTGTGGCAGCATCTTTTTTGTGATGATGAAAATATTTTATCTGTACTGTCCAAACAGAAAGTCACTAGCCACATGTGGTTACTAACCATCTGAAATGCAGTTAGTGCAAACAAATGAGTATTTGTTTTATTCAATTTTAATTAACTTAAAATAGCTACATGAGGCTAGTGGCTAACTTACTGGATAGTGCAAAGAACTAGACAATGGTAGTTCCTGACATTCTAACAAAGCACAGCTTTTGTTAGATGAAAAAGAAAAATAAAGGAACAGATGGTCACTTCTTGCTTGATCTGTAACCAGGGGATAAGGGTGGGAGGTGTTGCTCAGGGAAGCAGCATGTTGTAGTAAAAGCAGCAATGGATTTAGAAAGCCTTGGCTGTCAATCTGTGGGCACAGCAGCTGAGTTACTCAAACTTTCTAAGACTCAGAATCCTACCCATGTTGGTGAGTACTCAAGCTATTTCCAAAGCTGTTGAAAGGTATAGGAGAACACAGGAGAGATAATATGGCAGAGTTAGACATTTGGTTAGCATTACTGAAATATTACCTCTCTCACTTTGAGACAAAAATTAAAAACAGTTCAAGACAACATATGAGAGATGTATGAAGATATGCTTAAAGTGAAAGAATTAGAGTTGTGACCAGAGTTCTGAGGACTAGGACTACGCGCTGCTCAACAGAGTGGGGATGGAGGCAAATGTGGGAAGAGCGCGCACAGGGATGGGACAGGAAGAGAGCAATAGAACAGGTACAACTACTCAAGTAAGATACTCAGATGAATGTAGAACCAAAAAATCAGTAGAGCTGGGCTACCAAAGGACTCAATTTGGCTTGCACAAAGGATTAAAGAAATGAGAAGTGGGTAAGACCAGGAAGGCAGACTCAGCATAAACTCTCCAGGCCTTTGAGTGTCTGTAGGGAGAGGTACTATGTTATCTGTGGATGAGAGTTAAGATGCTAAACACAGGACAGTCTTGCCCTTAAATTCTTGTTTTACTGTGACCTTGGGAAGAAGCCCAGCCTTCATGTTTTCATCTATAAAATGGGAACAGTAACAGTATTCACCTTACAGGTTGTGAGAACTAAAAAGATGTTAAAAAAAAAAGGCTTAACTCAGTGCTGGTACATACTAAATGCTCAATAAATGATAGCTGTCATTATTGAGGAGTTTAGACTTCTTCCCATAGCAATGGTTAACTTTTTTATGTCCCATACCCCTTTGAAAATCTAATCAAAGCTATGGACTCTTTTGCCAGAAAAGATACCTGCCAACATACATACAAACTTGTGCCTACAATTTCAGGTAATTTATAGACCTTCTCTCATCCATTCCAAAGATTCTTCCTAAGGGTTCAGGGTCTTCACACCCAACACCTCTGTTCTAGTCACTGAGTGCTGCTCCAAGAGAGCAGTGGCAACATGAAAGGTAGGTAAGAAGATGACGTGAGGAATGGGGAGAGGTTAGCAGCAGGCTAAAGTGTCCTGTGACAGCCAGGGGAAGTGGGGATGCAGGTCTCTCACAAAATTTTCATCTGGGTTGCAAGTACTGTTTTGCCTTTTCCAAAAATACAGTCAGTATTTTCCTGCAAGACTAGGACAATGAAGGAACAAACTGTGCCTTTCTTCCTCCTTTTTCTTGGCTTTACCCTGCCCATTACCAAGTCTGAGATTTAACCAAATCAAAGAGGCAAGGCTTCTGGGCTCAAATGTGTGTCTAGCCTTTTACTTCTTTCAGGCTTGATGTTAAACTCCATTTCTTTGAGTATTTTGCTTCTATGCTTATGTTTTCCAAGCCAGTGTAGCTGTCTATTTTTTGGTACCAGGAACTGAACTCAGGACCTTACGCTTGCCAGTCAGGCCCTGTGCTGCTAAACTATATCCTCGGCCCCTATGTTTATGTTTTAATATATGTCCTTGCTGTGGAATGAGGCAGGGGACAAAGAATAAGGGAGTATAGACACTAAAAATAATATAAAAAATAACAATAGCAGATATTTTGTTCTAAGTGCTATGTAAGTATTAATTCATTAATTCATTTAAGTACTATGTAAGTATTAACTTATGAAGAGGCAGACACTACTATTAATCCCATTTGACATACAAGGAAAATTAAGGGACTGAAATAAGTAATCTGCCCAAGGTTACAAAAGTCTGAAGTGGTAGGGCTGGGCTTTGAACCTATGCAGTTAAGCTCCTGCGCCTCTGATTTAATAAGCCACTGCCCTGACTGGAGTTCAGGACTGCTGAAAAAAGACAATATGATGGCATTAGAAACTAACTTGGAACTTCTCCCCACTGGTAATTCTGACATGCCAACATCCCAATAGTGTCCTCAGGTGGCTGTCAAAGACTAGGACCCCAGGAAATCAGCCACTTCTACCAGCAGCTGCAAGAACAGCCCTCACCCTAACAACCATGTCCCAAGCAGTAACAATCTCATGTGCCATCACCAACACTTCATATCTTAGCAGTGGCCTGTGAAATGATCACAAGAAAATAACTGAAAGACTGCTTATCTCCTTTCTCTGCAGATGAGAGGCAGGGAAAGATGTGAAGGGAGCAATGAAATTTGGTGCTAGTTTTCCTTCAAAGGAAGAAAATATATCTTAAACCTTAAATTCCCTGAGAGAGATAATTTGCCACTTCATGGCAAAGAAACATTCTTTTCTGTTTTCTGGGGTTCAATTCAAACTCAAATACAGTTTTCTGATGAAAACACATATCAGGGATGAAGCTAAAGCAGTGAGGAAAGCCAGAGTTCAAACACTTCTGTATGAAGAGGCCCTGCCTATCTCCCGGAAGACTACATTGTCACATCCTGTGGATTCCAACTGTCATCTGCCATGGGAGCTGAGAAAAGGGGCCAGGAAAGGTGGTACAAATGGGACTCAAAGGATTAATATTGTTTCTCCTAATAACTAAAGGGTAGGTTACACAGGCTTATTTTCTATAAGACTTAATAGGGTACTAGGCATCCTGTATTATCAAAGCAGCATTCCTGAAGTCGTCTAGCTTAAATTTCCACATCTATCAACCATCATCTAGCAACCCTGAAAGGAAGGCTTTTTGTTTTTGTTTTTTTTTTTTGGTTTTTCTCCAGTACCGGGAACCGAACTCATGACCTTGCGCTTGCCAGGCAGGTGCTTTGCCACTGAGCTAAATCCCCAGCCCTCAAAGGCTTTTAGATTTTACTTAAAAATTTCCAGATACTGAGCAGTTCCTCATGTTCCATAAATAAAAGGTTCTCAAAAATCTTAAAAAGTAGGTTCTGCTATTTCTCCCAGAATTGAACCATAACCACACTCAGATAAAAGTCATACATATCTCCATGTAGGAAAGGAGTGACACATAAAGGGAATTATTCCCCACCACTTGTTCTAACTTTATTTTCTCATTCAAGCCCCCTAGTCCACATATTGAGGCCTAAACCGTCTCTCAACTCAGAAAACAGCTCCTCCTCATTGCTGGAACCACTCAGGTAGCAATAACTGAAGTGAGCCCTTACCTTGGGGCTGTGCCTCTGGACACTGAACTGGGGGTTGCCTGTGAAATGGTCACAATGTCTTCGTCCCCTCCGTCCTCATAAAAGCTCGCTAGTGCGATCTGAAACAGAGAAGCAGTACCTTGGGACCTTGAAAGAGTCCTTTACCTAATACCTCCTCTTAACACAAAGGAATAAAAACATCAAGACATGATCCACACAAGACAGAAAATTTGACTGAAAGGTAACAGACCAACTGTTAGTCTTCATTTTACCTGAAACAAATTTCACCCATCAAGAGAAAAGAAAAAAGAACACCGGGTGGAAGATACTCTTTTGAAGTAAAAGCAGCATGTATTTATTGAGCATTTATTTATGTGCCAGGTTGTTCTGAGTCCTCTGCATGTGTTATTTAATCCTCACAGAATTACATGCAATTAGTCCTATTATTGTCTCATTTTACAGGTGATACGGAAGCACTGCAAAGTTAAGACTACTGCTCATAGTTAATTACACAGTTGGTAAGGAGTAGAGCCATGCTCAATTCTAGGCAATGTGCTCATGCCCTCAATCTTCAGTTATTCTCAATCTGTGAAACGTGGCACCCGTCCCCTCAACTCTAAAGAACAGATGATCCATTAAGACTTACCCACAGTCATATCTTAACCCTACATATACAGAAGGAATATAGGAGTCCTTTGGCCACCTGTGACTCTGTTTCCCTCACCAACTCAGTGGATACCTCATCACATATACTATGCACAAAGAAAGGAGAAAGAGCACGGAGGTCTACAGCGATGAAAAAGACAGCTTCGGTCTCAAGGTGACCAGCCACACTGAAGGCAGTAAGCTGTCACGGGACATAACTGGTCTGAACATGCGTAACGAGAAACAAGTAGCCTGATGGGGGTATTAGTGAGCTACCTTGGCACTTGCACTGAATGACAAGACTATATTTAAATCCTGGTCCTGACACTTTTATGAACCTCAGTTTCTCTATGTGCAGTGTGAGGAGACCGGGAGAGATGACCCAGTGACAATAATACTATGTATTTTTGGAAAAACACTTCTGCTTTATAATTCTGTCCAGCACAGGGGCTTCACACTGTGTCCACAGAGGCATGTGATGGTTTATCTAACACACCTGAGAAGCAATGCAAATCGTGGAATCAGCAGACCCAGTTCAAACTCCAGTCCCACTACTTACTAGCTGTGTGACTTTGGGCACATTCCTTGCCCTCTGAGCCTCCAATTTCTCATCCATAAAATGGGGCTTAGGCAGACAGGCACCATCATGGGAACAAGAGACAGAATTCTTAGGCCTTAATCAGTGTGGTGGAAATGTCTTTCCCCCTATTTTTATGTACCTATCAGGGCTAGTCCTTATTTTCTCATAAAGTGAGCTAGAACTGAGTTCTAATTCTCTCTTACCCTTGGTGGTAGCTAGTAAGGCCTTAAGCGTGTTAGTTTCCTTACACCTTTGCTGCAAAACTGTAAAGTTAAGTGACATAAGACGTGTAAAGCTGTTAGAACAGTGCTTGGCTTGTTGAATCTCCTCAGTATTCTCACCATCATTATCTACTACGATGTAGGCTGGCCAAGAATATTTATGCAAGTTTTCTTCCACTGAAAAACTGAACCAATGACTGAATGCTTACGTAGCAGGCATTGTTCTAGGCACTGGGGATTCATTCTTTGTGCAAAAATCTCTCCCCAGGGACGCTTATCTTAATTGAACACTTAGAACCCGCCAGTGAACTGCCAGTAAATTCCACGCGACTCCCACTGCACACATCGGTTAACTAAGCAAAGGTAAGAGGCCTGGGCCAGCTCCGGGGTCGGATTCCTTTCTCCCCCGCCGCCAGGCTGCGGACAGGAACGGGAGCGACCACCGTGCGCCGAGCCTCGCCCCAGCCCGGCGCTGGTCAGCGGGCCGCAGGCGGCCTCCAGCGGGCAGGCGGGCCGCAGCCACGCCCCCCGGCGACCCCGCTCCACGCGGCCGCCCACCGCGCCCGAGGTCTCGCCGACGCGCGGAGCCGGCGAGCCGTGGGGGAACTGGGGCCCTGCACGGCAGGCCTGCGTTGGCCCGCTCCCTCGCTCCCAAACTGAGCCGGCGACGTGTGGCAAGCGGCCCCGGGCCCACGAGGCCTCTCTTGGGCTGCGGTCGGGCAGGGATGACGGTGCGCTTCGGGCGCCTCAGGCTTGAAGGGTCGGGCGCCCGCGCCCCGCAGCCCCCAGACCGCCCGATGAGGCCCGCCTCGCGGAATTACCTGCAGGTCCCAGCCGGCCGACTCGAGGAAGAAGCGGGCCCGGTCCTCCTCGGCGCCCGTCACCGCCACAAACTCCCTCAGAGAGTCCTGCCGTTCCGCCGCCATCTTCGCTCCGTGCGCGTCCCAAACCACTCCGGCTGCCGCCGCACAACCACAGCCCGGCTGCCGCGTTCCGCCAGCCGGGCCACCCGGTCTAGCCGCTGGGCGCCACCCGCATGCCCCGCCCCGCGCGGTGCCTCACTCAAAATCCTCCGTGCGAGAACCACCCCGCCCCCGTTCCGCGACCCCTGGAGGCCGCGGTGGGGACCGCAGCCTAACGGCCGGCATGGATGTGGGCGGAGGATCAGAAGGGAGTTTTCCACAAACTTGTAGGATGAAACACAGAACCTGAAGAAATCAGATTCACAGTTATACATCGATTCATCCCAAAATTCGTTAATTATCATTTGTTTATTCACTTGCTTGAAACATTTCTTAAGAACTTTCCAAGGCCAGATGCTCTTCCAGGACTGTGAGCATGGTAGGGACCAAGATAAAGTTCCTGTCCTCTGTTGCTTACGTTCTAAGGAGAAAACCCAAGGCCCTGCCGAACTCGTCATTCCTCTGCTCACAGCCATTCCGTGGGTCCCTATCTCACGCTACATAAAACATGTGTGTGGCCAACAAGCCACACATACAACACGTGAGTCCCTATCTCACCCTACATGAAACAAATGTCATGGCCCACAAACCCAAAGTAAAATTGGCCAGCTCCTTTATCTCATCTCCTAGTGTTCCCACTAGCTTCCACTGCTCCAGGCATGGTGCCCTTCTTCCTGGTCCTGAAATATGCCAGCTATGCACTGACCTCAGGGCCTTTGCATTTGCTGCAAGCTTACTGACCCTAAAACACTTTCCCCTCTTGGATGGGTAAGAGGCTGCCTCATTTTCCTCAGGCCTCTGGTCCAAGGGCCACTTCTCAGATGTAATGCTGTCTCTTAGGTCCTCAGTTTCTTTGTTCTCTTTGCTCTTCCCACATTGTCTGGGCCACTTTCCCCTTTCTTTTCCTTTGGTAAGGTTCTGCTTGTTCTTGAGATCTCAGTTTGGGTGTACCTTACTCAAGGAGGCCTTGATATTCTAGGCAGTTGAGTTAGATAGAAATATTATAGGCAGTCAGACAGGGACAAGCTCCTGAAGAAGCCAACATGAAAGACAAGATACCTTGTGAACAGAGAGGTATTTGCTGTGGGCCAGACCTCAAAGCAAAGGACTAAACAAATGTACCCACATACCTCCTTAGGTGTAAACATCAGGGATTGATAGTCTATTGTTTTTTGTTTGTTTGTTTGTTTGTTTTTGTCTTATTTGAGACAGGGTCTCACTGCATTTCAGGCTGGCCTTGAACTCACTTTGCAGCCCAGGCTGGTCTCAAACTTGCAGTGATCCTCCCACCTCAGCCTCGAGTGCTGGAATTACAGGCGTGTGCCACCACACCCGGCTAGGGATTGATATTCTAAATAGGTAGCAAACACCTTCAAAAAGCCAGAAAGAGTCACTAGCCCAACCCCCTACAGAAAAAGCCCCTGTTCTGCATTCATACCTGCTTGCTACATGACTCACTTCCCCATTTGATCCCAGTTTACTCAATTTTACCTGAACAATTACACTTGTAATCTTATTGGCTGACCATAGTTTTGTCCCACCTCATGCACACCTTGTAATTTCCCATTTCCCCTCTATCTTGGACCCGCCTCACCTTGTGGTTTTGCCCTATAAAGTCCCCAGAAAAGGCAGGGTCTTTGGCAACCCACTTGGGCCCTCTTCTGTCCCTCTCTTGAGAAGCTTTCTTTTCCTCAATAAATATATTCTGCTCTTAACCTCTGTTGTTCCTAAAATTCGTTTTTTAGGAATTCATTTTTTGAAATCAAAATTGAAAAATGAAAATCAAAATTTTTGATTTCAAAAATGAAATCAAAGTTCATTGTTTCATTTTAGACAACATGAACTCATCCCAGATATCATTCAGGTTGGGAGTTTTTATTTTCATGTATCATTGAGACTCTCCCCAGGCTCAGTCTAAACTTTATTGAGTTCAACTTTATAACTCCAATCTTAATAAAATTATGAACAGCACAAATACCACCTTTCCTTCTTTGGAACAACTGTCTTTTTGGAAAATCTGATATATATTAAAACTGTATGGAGATGGGAAGGGAGTATTAGGATGGGGATGTAGGAGAAGGGAAGGGGAAGTAAAAATGATTAAGAAATGATATGCATATGTACCAGTTCACCAAGATGAACATAGTTGTTATACATTGCAAACTTGACTAATAAAAAAGAAAATAAATACCTCTAAAAACCTTTTATGTTATACTGTCAAATGAGTTAGGCTCTAGTTTCAGGTTATTTTGAGTGGGTTTTTAGCTACACTGGATCCTGACAGAATGTGTAGGAGGATGGTGTACTTTGTGGTGTAAGCAAGTCTCTCGTGTCCACTGTCCTAATCCCCAGATCCTGCCCCTTCATTGGTGTGTCAACTTGAAGTCTCTTTTGCCTGCACAGGAAGTCCAGGACCATGTACATACTTGGTGGCTAACAAGGTCTTTCCAGCTGGAAGCTGGCAATGATCTACCCCAGTTTAAAGATCTATGGGTGATCAGGTCCCAAAGATGTAGCTACTGAGCTGGTCTTTGCATCACTGGACTGGATTATCACCCACTCTTCACTTTTGTGCTACTGGAGAAAGCCCTTTCTACTGCCTGATCTAGAGGTCTTAGACATTTTTCCTCTAATACTACAAAGGTAGCTAATGTTTTCTAAGCATTTAATGTGACTCAGATACTTTTAAAAGGATTTTAATTATACTAACCCATTCATTCTCATGACAGTCCTATAAAGTAAGTTCTATTATTGTCATTTCCATTTAGACTCCTAAAAGTATCTAAACCCGGTTGTCTGACTGCTGGCTAGTCTGTGTTTGTAACCACTGCACTACACTGCCTCTTCTTGGCCTTTAGCATTATGCTGGTTAATTCACATGCATAGTATCTGGAGGCAGCTATAGATAATCTGACTGGAGGAGTTTAGGGCAGTAGTTTTATCAAAGGGGATGTGAATTTGAAACTATAATTATGTGAAATATATCTAAGTGTCCTTAACAAAACCGGCAGGGGAGATGTTTTTGAAGGTCCAGATCCAGCCCCACCCTTTCACCCAAGTTCTACCACCCCTGCCACTTTGTTTTACCCCTACTTTGTATATCTACCACCATCACCTCCTGACTCATCCAACTCCACACTACACTCAACCACAGCACTACAACCCTCTCATTCTCTGCTTCATTCCACAATCCACCCCAAGTCCCCCAGACTCATTTCTACTTTCCTTTCCACGTTGGCCTCCTCTCCAGCCCCACGTGTTATCTCCACCCTGCACCACATCCAGCCCTATACCAGCCTTCCTTTGCCACTTTCTCGGTGGTCTCCTCACTCTTGATGACTTTATTTTGGACAGGGCTGTGTGTCCCCCAGGTTAAGGTCTCCTCTGATCTTCTTTGCCAGTCCCCCAAGCACTCTACCCTCGATATCTTAGCAGTTCAGTGAAGGCTGCTGGGTAGAGCAAGATATTGATTTAAACTGACATTCAAACCTTCCAGTGGCTCCTACACAGAAGCTACAGGACCTCTCACCCTATTGTAGTACCACTGCCTCAGCAAAGTTGGGACTACTCCTCGCTTTTCATAGCTTCCCATACCAACTGTCTTAGTTTCTTTTCTCTTATTGCTGAGACAAAATACCTGACACTCCAGGTGGCATCACAATCTCTGACTTGAAAGTGTACTACAAGGCTACTGTGATAAAATCAGCCTGGTATTGGCAAGAAAACAGACCCAAGGATCAATGGAACAGACTGGAAGTTGCAGCCATGATCACAGACATACTCAGCCAACTTATTTTTGACAAAGGGGCCAAACAAGTTCATTGGAAGAAAGATTGCCTCTTTCACAAATGATGCTGGAAAAACTGGCTCACCACATGAAAGACTGAATCTAGAACCATGTCTTTCACCATGCACCAAACTCAAATCAAAATGGATCAAAGATTTATTTTTTTTGATCAAAGATTTAAATATTAAAACAGAAGCATTAAATCTACTGGAAGAAAAAGTAGGTAAAAATCTTGAAGACATAGGGGTAGGCAGAGACTTCATGAACAAAAATCAAACTGCACAGGAAATACTTCAAAGAATCCACAACTTGGATCTCATCTTATTGAAAAGTTTTTGCACATCTAGAGAAATCACCAACAGAGTAAAAAGAAAACCCACAAGTTGGGAAAAAATTTTAGCCGACTGTCTCTCAGACAAAGGACTTCTATTCAGAATACATGAAGAACTAAAAAAAATCAGCCCCCCTCATTTAAAGACCCAATCCAAAAAATGGGCATCTGAGATGAATACATACTTCACACATGAAGAAATACAAATGGTAAATAAATACATGAAAAAATGTTCAATATCCTTAGTCATTCGAGAAATGCAAATTAAAACAACATTGAGATTCCATCTCACCCCAGTAAGAATGGCTAGCATTAAGAAACCAATCAATAACAAATGCTGGCAGGGGCTGGGGATTTAGCTCAGTGGCAAAGCGCCTGCCTGGCAAGCGCAAGGTCATGAGTTCGGTTCCCGGTACCGGAGAAAAACCAAAAAAAAACAAAACAAAACAAAACAAAATAACAAATGCTGGCAATGACAACCTATAAAAACGTCTTACAAGCCTATTCTTATGGAGCATTGGCAGGAATGTGAGCAACAAGAATTGTCCAGTGTCTCCCACTCTCCAGTGGGAGAGTATGTGGGCTCTCTAGGGTTGGAAAGTAACTTGGCAAAAGTGGCAGAATTGACAAAGCATCAAACCCATACAACCTGCCAGTTCTACTTTTGGGTATACACACTCTGTAAACTCTTGCATTCCTATAGCAGGAGACACAGTGAAAGTCTCAGTGCTAGTTGGTAACTGCAACATCTTGGGTTTCCATCCAGTGGAGGAATTCACAAATGTACTACTACTACAGTGGAACAGTATACACCTGTAAAAATAAATAGATTAGAGCTACAGCAATCAACCTAAGATAGATCTCAAATGTGGAGCCAAAAGGCAGTGCTGCGTATTTGGAAAGTGCCATTCTATACGGATATTCATATAGGA